ACGGAGAACAAAGCCTACACAAACTTGGCTCCAGCATCCTTGTTTATATACTTGTCTACACAATTTTTCTATTTTCGTTCCTTTTTTTTTTAAATTTTTATTTTTCAAGCGAATTTCCATACTCGGATGAAAATAGTGTGGTCAACGGTGGAACGAAAGCGGAAAAAGGAATGCAAAATCTATTATTCGATTTTTAATCGACTCTCGAAATTTTCTAAACGTCGTACGAGTATAAGGCTCGAAGATACGATACCTGTCCATTTTTCATATTATCGTACCATTATCAGTGCATGCGATAACATTTCTAAATAGGCAGTTACGTGTACCCGCGACACATCTGTATCCCATCGAAGCTACGCGCGAGTCGTATAATGAACTAATTCTACCCGATGCGCATTACACGCTTGATACGAACAAGTGAAAATATAATCTAGGGGAATTTTACGAACGCTCGAAACGCTCCAACGTTCTTCTTATCGCACGGCTGTTCAATAATAGGTACTCGTTAGATAGCCTTGTAAAAAGAAAGCAGCATCAGCATCTCATTTTTAACCGGCCGATTTCGAGTTTAGAAGATGATATTGCTCCCGAGCGATACACAACCGCGGTATCTTTCCGTGCTCCTCGAACAAACAATAACAGATTCATTCCTGTGACGACCTCGACGCTCAGAGTGAACCATGAATCACCGATAAGCGGTAAATCTAACGACCACGAAAATTCTCTCAAATCCGAGCATCGTCCCACGGCCCGTAACGCGCGATATATTCCCGAACCGAATTGAACGCGATATTTGACCCGATTATGTCCGACCGTGGACTGGCAGGTCCCAAGACTACGCACCGACTTGGCGAAACCGAACACCGGATTAGCATTTACAAGTAACGCTCTCTCGTATCGAGCGCTAGGAATTATATCATGACTTATGCATTTTCGGATAATCGACGGAAGGAGCGAGGAGGTTAAGTCGGCAACGAAGATACTCTTTCGCACCGAATGGACCTAAATAAAGAAAAGAACTCGGCTGGTCAGCGACGGTGTCGCGAAACCGACCTCTTTCGTCAAATTGAGAACAACTTAACTTTCTCGAAGGATAACGCCTTCCCGTTTCCTTTCTCCGGACGACCGCGGGAGATGGATTTACGCGGCGCCACTGAGGAAAACGTAAATATACGCGACGCCGCGCGCATACACACGGCCGGCCGTGAGTGGGTTTCTAGTAAAAAGAAACAGAAGTGTCGCGACGTGAATACAGGTCACAACATCGCTGAATAAGCAACCGAGCGCGTGTATACCGCTGCTCTCCGCGTTCAGCAAATTACGTAAGGCCAGAACAGGAGCTCGTTTAAATACCGACACAATCAACGATGAATAAGTTACCGTGCATGTGGCGCGCACACCGGCGGAACGAAATAAGGGAAACGTACGCGACGCGTTCGTTCCATATTCGCGTTAAATTCGGCGAAAGTTACGCAATCCGACATTCTGCCTGGCGCCGTCCTTTAGGACTTGCCATTAGCCTTCCAACAATGCGTACACGTCAAAATTTCAGGTCACTTTCGTCCGATCGCTGGAACTCGTTTCGTTTTCTCCCTCTATCCGCACGTTTTTATTCGAATAATCGTATTTCACCGTTAGGACCCATCGAAACACGCGATACCGCTCATGCTTTATCGCTTCGAACGGAAGCTTGTTAACCGAGTCCAGGCAAGAACATCGAACTCGTGGAAAAACTAAACCAGTGCGTGTATTACAGTTGAAGTATAGCTGGCATTGTTGACGTTACGAAATATTTTTAGACATCACTTATAGACTGTAGACACGCGGTTATGTCAATTTTTAATATCGCTACAAATTTACAAATATTCACGTGTCTCTCGATGAATGCTTATAAGAATTTATATCATCATTCTTAAATTTAATACGATCCTTATAATTAATATTTAATTAACGTTTACAGTCTTAAAAAGGAAAAAGAAACAGAAACAGAAAAGAATGAAACGACGTAATTACATACCTTTGTAACAATATGGAATTTCACGATAAATGTAAAAATAAACATGTAAACACTATGATGTGATATAAACAAAAGTTTTAATTGTTAACAGTGAAAATAGTATAATAGAGAAATTAGAAATTTCTTAAAAGTAAGTAAGGTGAAAATTATAGGTACCAAAGGAGAGCCATCGGTAAGGTTATATTACGAGAGAAGTGGGCAATATATCGAATTAAAGGATGCGGGTTGCACGAAGACGTATAAAAGATTCACGCGACAACAGTGAGCACCTGGAAACAGGACGGAAAAAGTTGAGAACCACTAAGTGCGTTCGCGGTGTCACCCACAAGCACGAACGATAATCGTTTTCACAAAAGTTCGCTCGAACTCTCGGAGGATGCTAATTTGTAGCACGAACGTGGCGTGATAATTAGCGACGCGTGTAAACGCGTTGCTAAATTACGTTGTCGCTTAAGAAAATTCTGTAGATCAGCGAGCGTGTGCGTATATAAGTCGTCCGTATGAAAAACGCATTGTACATTAATATGGTGTGTATCGTGAGATAAATAGATATAGAAGAAGACAGGGCTGTCGACGGAAGGAGCGAGAGATACAAATGAATGATATTCTAGAAGCGTCTATCCAAATGGCGGTCAGCCGCATGACACGTACACTTAGCAGAATAAATGATTTACATCAGACTGTACTGCAGCACCATAGGCACTTCACTGCTCTGACATGCTCTTCGAACGGTAAATCAAATATTTCCAGTAACATGATTTATTAAAATGTAAAGAGGGAGTCACGCGAACTCGATTCGCACGAGTTCACAGATGCGTCTATGCGTACATACGATACACTAGCGGAAAAGAATTGAAAATTTTCGATAACGTTTCTTTTTATAAATAAAATTTCCAAGTACAACGCAAAGTGCTGCCATCTAGCAATAATTCATAACAATTTTCATACTCCTCTGATATGTCAGAAAATTCGCCTGGTTCGCACGTGCGTTTCATAGTACAACTATAACGAGGAAAACGCGTAGATTCGTTTCATACGATAATTTATCCCATGCAAACAGCTTATTTCGAACGAGTATCGGTATTATAGTCTCTATGCGTAATAAAACAGATAAGGTGTCTAATTATCCATTGGAATCCCACTCCGAAATTAACATATTGTAATGAATTCGCAAATTATACCAAGGGATCGTGCGCGTCGATTCATGCAAACAAGTACGCCGAGAGAAATGTGAGAAGCACGAGCTTGTAACGTTTCATCGGAAAGGTTGAAGCGTTGCCGAAGGTCAACGTCAAGATACGATTACACACAGTTCAGTGGAAAAGAGGGTATTTAAGTATCGAACAGTATGAATTTTACCAGGCACAAATCGAAAATTCCATCCGAGTTTTTAAGGGTTGAAAAGTTCATAAAAGACGCTAAAAGATAGAATAATCGGGCCAGTGGCAAATGGAGGGCTGAATAAAAAGAAAGGCGCGTGGCTCGTTGCTGGCGCGGCGTCTCCCGCCATATCACACTAGTCAGCATACTCGCACACTAAGTGTCATACACTCGCACACGCACATATAGATGTGGAACGGTTAAACGAAGAACTACGTATGCACTGTATTCGTACGCGCGAGTTCAGATGAAAGATAGAAACGCATACAAATACACACGCACGACCCGCGGAATTTTCTCCGGTGCGTGTGTGCACGCATGCACCGTGCACACCAGGGGCCGCGCGAGCGACGCACACGGCGTACACTGAGCTCTCGACGGCGCGATCTACGTGAGAAAAACACTCACTAACCTGTCAGAGGCGATTCTCCCTGTATTCCTCGGTCCACGGTACTCCTGGGTACTCGTGTATTTTCACCGGCTACACTGCGATCACCAAACTATTCACTCTCTCACACGGCGTTCTTACGATGTGTCTCGATCGGGGGTATACGCGCGGCGCCTTGACTCTGTATTCCGATTCACACGGCTCTCGCGACGTCCACGGGTGACTTTCAGCCTCCCGTGGAACGATACTCGCTCGGATACGGGCTCTGGGGTCACGCGCGCCCGCCCGACGCCCCAGTTGTTCGCGAAAATCCCTCGATTCGACGAAAAAATTGGTCGACAATGCGCGGAACTACGTTCGCGACTGTCTCCCTCGCTGGAGGAAAATGGCGGCCCCCGGCCATCCGAGTGACTCGCGCGCGCCACCGATACTCTCCGTCACCGGCCGAATATACCCGAAAATAACCGATCCTTTTCGATTCAGCTATGCCGAACGGTTAAATATCGGCTGAATTTTTGCAATAATTTTATAATATCATTTATTAAATCTATTTTTGTCCAACATTTTATTTAACATTGTATCTAATGACAAATTAAAATATATTAGTTTCGTATTTACATGTACAATTAGTTTTCTTCCAGGTCCATCAATTTCTTCGTTCTGATATTATGTATTTGAATTACTTAATGTTTACAATAAATATATACATTTTTATCAGGAAAATAATATAGAAAAATTTTGCGTTTTATTAACATTCAAAATTTAAAACTATAGAAATAACATGTAAACGTTAAGGAATTACCGAAATAAATTTTTTTTATGAGGGTGCACGTGTGATTGTCTAAGATTATATATTATTTAACTGAAATCAGAAATTATAATAATACAATTATTCGAAAACTCACCTTTATAAAAAACTTTGTTAAATTTGCGAGGGAAAACTTGCACATCACATTTCCAAAACATTCAACCACGCGTACGTTATTAGCATTTTCTATTTAGTTGCGTTGCATTCGGGTTACATGCTCAAATTTCGCGATTGGTCAAAGCCAAAAATTAATTCGCTTCAGTAACCAATCAAAAACGCCAAGAATCGCTGGTAAGAATAAGATATAACACACAGGTTAAATAAAATTATTAATATAAAGATGAATAATATCTTTCCACTGATATTACATGTGCCATCATTTTTTCTTCCCGCTAAAAAACACTTTAAAATAAAATAAATTCTTTAATTGGCGACAAATTGTTCAGTCACATGATTTAGACTGAGGATCATCCCTTATTTCTATCGTTAATAGAGCCATCTACTGTAACATTATAATACTAACGTTTTTATCATGCGTAAACAAAATGATAATTATCTTTGTTAAAATAGTGCAAGAGTTTCCGCGATTCTTAAAGACAATTGTGTGTCAAGGTGTTACAATCGTAATTGTGTATCCATACTCGTGATTTGTATGTAAACAGATGAACAATTATGATACATAATAGTAATATATATTAATTGTGACACAATAAACATAATTTGCCTCAGATTTTTAAGTACAACTTTACACGTAGTTTGACCATAACCAATATGTCAGACGTTAAAAGTCTTGAATATCCAACGTTAAAGGTATTTAATACTTTCGTATTTATATTATGATTATAGTTATTCAAATAAATTTCTTAGAACTGTTGACTATTTTTGTCATTCCCTTAGTAATTATAAGGCTTGTATTATTTCGTTCTAATTTTCCGAATTTTAATATCACTAAATTCACAGATTTTATTATTATTTAAATTAGTAACATAATATTCTATTTTTAGGTTCCTTATGAACTCCTTAATAAAAAATTTCGTTTAGCTCAAAAAGTCATAGACAGGGAAGCTTCGTATGTACAAACAGCAGCTAATGAATTAATGAAAGATAATAAAACCTCTGTTCCTGCTGGAGAAATGAGTATATTATTAGGAGGTGTTGTAGAAAAACTTCAAACTTTAAAAAGAAAAGCACAAGAGTCTATTGCAGAAGAGTTACAAGC